ATCATTTGAACACCAGTAGTGAGACAAGATAATGGGTAAAATATTTTATGATGTTTTGAGGTTTGTATTCATCATAAACTGATACCATTTAGAGACACATTGAAAATCTGGGAGCACTGGACAATAGTTTTGTTCTAGTACAGGATTCCTCAGCAGTGAAAACCCACGACCGCGCTAGAGACCGAACCTAGGACTTTCAGGTCCCGTAGATAGCGCGTTATCATTGAATCGGAATCAAATGTTTCGTATTTCCTATTCATGTCAGTTTGCGATATAGAGTGACCTCCATCCAATCCATGGTTGAGTAACCGCACTCATTCCCAACATAGTCAGCCACACCGGTCACGACTTCTCATTAGAGCTTCGGGAAACACATCTCGATGCAAGTGACCAGTGAGCACTAGATTTATTCAGTTTGGTGATAAGTACCAACCTGAAATCATTAAATAGATCTTCACAAACCTCCAAATTGAACTGAAAATTTGTAACTCAAACTGCATTCAACAAGGTTGAACATTAATATAGAAAACAGCATTTATTATTTAGCATAAGGCTGCTACTAAATGCAACACATATTTCCTCGAGTTCAACTACAAATGTTGTCTAGATAGCAGTAATAATACTTTGACCTCCAGAACTTCATTCAGAATACAAACCTGATAGCTGGGCTTTTATACACAGAGGCTTCAGTGGATAGATGGCAGTTTCATATTCATATTAGGGGGGTACTTTACTATCAACGGAAAAAGATTTAAAGAAAGGACAACTTTGTAAGTGACACACTTTAGCTACCTTGAGAAATTTCGCGTACCGGAAAATGTTGTCCCCACTTAGTCTAAAACAACCCTTGAACTCTAGCTCTTCAATATACATACTGCCTATAAGCCTCTCCCTGTAGAGCAGTAATGACTGACTTAATATCTGATATTCTAATGTAATTCTTATGGGTCGGTACACTTTTGACAGCCTTGAGAAATGAATGCTAAATGGATAAGTGGCAGTATATGGGATAAAACAAGTTTGCATAGAGCTATGAACCACTTGCATAAAAACTTAAGCTTTAATCACTGCTTCTACATATTTATTAACTAGAAGATAAACTAGGTCCGAAACCTATCCGTTCATCACATAGCCTTCCTCATTGAAGTTATGCATCCCAAAGGCTTACTGAAAGTGTTAGAAACTCAAATACTCGTTGCTACTCAAGTGGGATCAGTTTTACTGATGTATTCACCCAAGATGAAACCCATTTTACAGACGAAAACCTCAAGCGGATTTTTTTTCACTGATGAAAAAATCGAACCGAAGCAACACTGTTTGGCATTGTAGTTCTTGTACATATATGTATCGCCAGTATCTTAAGCGCATAGCCAGGTGCATAAGTGAACTTTCGAAAATGATTCTTAATACGCTTTCAATGATCAATGTATTAAAAATACATAACTGAACAATGGTCCAAGTATCGGATATAAGTCGTTGAGAAGAACAATTATTGTCCGGAAAATTTATGATCTAACTAACAATAAGGTCTTCAATTAGTGACTTACGACCAACTGGATTAGTTAAATTAGACGAGATCACTTCAATGGTTATGTTTAGGAGTGCTCCAACAAATAATGCGTATTTATAGACTATTCTCGTTCATCGCCGTAACGGATAATAAGTTTGTAGCGAACAAGTTTATCTCTGTCTGATTTAAAAGTAAGGGAGTGAATCAGTTTTATAAGTTAACAACAATCTAAGACATACCAATTCATGAGAAGTTACACTAATCAAATACTAGTGAAGGCTAGACAGAATCAACATAGGATCTGGCATTACCGCGAAATGGCAAAAGTTGTCAAACCTCATTCCAGAAAATTCAGCGACAATCCAACAGATGAAAGATACAGAAATAAGGAAGAAATTAGGCAAAAGAGGTAGAGGAAATTAACAAAATACTCCACTCAGCATAACAATTAAGATGAAAATAATGTCTGGATGCATCTACACCACTGACATCGATTCTCAGTCATCTCACCTAGTCGCCAACCACTGATTTCTATTGTCACACAAAACCCGAACAGAAAGTCTACACTCCTCTATACAGCTCAGTCCAACAGTCAACCATTTCATGCACTAATGGCATATCTCAGTATGGTCGTTCTCTAACCTTTTCTCAGACTATACCTACTTCGGTAGACTTTGTGCAACGAGGCAGGCGGTGACTAGGCATACATAACACATCCCAGCAACCTCAGTCGATGAAGGTTCACAAACTCACCAACTGACTTCTCTCCCATCACTAAAACTCCACAACCTGTTCATAGTTCATATCTTGTATGAGGGCTGGGATACTGTCAAGGCGCAAAAACCGAAACAGGTAGGGTAGTTGTCTTCCCGGCACCACTCATCGAGCCTTTCACTTAGAGTCTAATCCACAATGCAGTGCAGCAACATCACAAGCTGTATTCCCACGGTTGCCACTGGCCAAGATACGTTCTACAACCTGACTCCCACATCACTGACATGGTGGCACCACGACACATGCCACACCTATACTACAAAGCCAACCTCATTTCCTAAAACTTGAATGACCATGTTCCACAGCCACAAAGTAAAACACAGTGAGCTGCAGCACAGTCCACTCAACCTTGAATAGGTAGTCAGATATCACAGCGGTGACACAAATGTAGTCAGCTGGCCAACGTTAACCCAACTTCTTGTATCCGAGCAGAGATCTCGTCAGTTACGAATCCGTCAGGGCCCATCCCACTTCCCACGCAGGTGAAGTGGTCAGCGTGTTCAGCCAAATCACTCCTCATCGTTAAACAAGGTACCACTAAAGATCAGTCCTGGAGCAGTAATTAAAATCTGGGTGGTGAGAAACACGGCGAAACATTGCCACTCTAAGTGTCCAGTGGACTACGTATTATGTCAACGTCTTCGTTGGGCAGGAATACGGATCCTCAAGACTTACTAAGAATTCCGTCATGATAAAACCACTCCATATGAAGTCAAGTGAGAGATATATACAAGTACGCCTGAAGTTGAATAAAAGTGAAGAGTGGTAGGGGAAACAAGGTGCATAATATAACACTAAGTTTACAAATGAAATGGAACTCAGACAAACAGTGAAACTGTTAAGAAATCGGAAAATGTTCCGATTACCGACTAGAAAAATAACCAGTAAAACACCCCCTTCGCTAGATATAGTGAAATGTAAGGGGGAGGCAACCACAAGATAAACGCGTTACAACTACGTATTAAGTCTTCCGAATTTCTCAAAAAAAGTGAAACTAATGGAAGTGATAGCTCAGAAATATAACAGCAATCCGTTTATCAAAGAAAATTAGGGGAACGAAATTGAAGAGAAAAGGCAAAGACTAGGATGAATTCTCACTACTATCATGATAAACTTCGATAACTGAAGCTCGTATTCTTTTCACACTACTATGGAATAAATTGTTGTTCAGTATCACATTCGAGTGGATGTTTAAGTCATTCGTCAGACGCCTTCCGAAAACTGTTCACCAGTGTGAACTTGACTAATCCAACCTAGTTATGTGGATACCGAACGAAATGCACTCAGCCACCTTGCGCACATCCGTTCAGTAGGCAATGAGTCACACCTATTGTGTGAGGGCTACGGATACTACCTGGCTTCTCAAGCCTCGGTAAGTGGAGCGGGACTAGAACCGTTGGGCCAGCTGGTTTACAGTCATCTCCCTATACTACTGAGCCATAGCTTCACGATTTTATTCGGATGCATATCCAGCGACGTAATGGTTACAGCACTAGGAAGCCTGGTTAATTTATAAGCCAAGTTATTAGTAATTAAGGCAGTCGATAAGTTCTGGATTTGGTCGAAAGTACTTTCCATGTGCACTTATGCCGTGACTCTATGGAATCAACATTCAGTATGCCTGATGTTATAATAGGCAGTGGAGCTTCACTGCTAGAGTATATCCTCACCCATAGTCGTTTGGATACAATTAAATTAGAACGTTCTGCCAAACTGATGAGACATTTTCATAACCTCCACATATGGTGCACTGAAATGTAACCAAATATGACATTTATTCATTTATCTATTACACTATCAGCACAAATAGGTCTGAAAAGGGAGATACTTAACAGCTTGAGTACATGAATAAGCCTTGCTAACAAATGCATAAAAAGTTAGCGACGAGCGGTAGAGACGCGAAAGTACGAGAAGGCTTCAGTGCTAGTGGTAAGTACAGCTGGAAAACACAATACGAGTTGAGAAAATAAGTTGTCATAAGACTGCCACAAAACAATAGTAAAAGAGGCTTGAAAGCTCATAATACGCAACCGGTAAGTCAGTTTCAAGACGACTATGTAAACCATAAAATGGTACTTGAAATGTGATATATGTTACGAGCTTACGCATAAGAAATGAGATGGCAAGTATGATTGCAAACAGACTATCATAACAAGGATATTTAAAGCAATCCCAACTAAGGAAATCTGATACTACGCTAAGATGTCAATCTCTAGTCAGTAGGATTATATTACCTGAAAAGTTAAATGTATCCAACGTACACTGGTACGAATCAATGCAAGTTCATTTCCTTTAACTCCTAGTATATGAAACTACCTATTATGAAAAAGTGAAAATTACTAGTCACTATAGCGACATTTAAACTGAACGTTTTGCGTCTGTATATATCTCATAGTAAGAAGACGAACCACCTTGATTAGAAAGAAGGGTTTGTAGGAAGATGTCTATGAGTAACCTTTTTATAACTGACGAGCTATATATATATATATATATATATATATATATAAATAAACTTAACTAGTTAGCTATATTAGTGGTTTTCATAGAGTTGATTTCAGCAAGCTACGTAGTAACTAATAAGCTCACCGATAAATTGTAGCTTACTTGGAAAAGGTTCTCCAGACATAGCAAAACAAGCTGAATACACTGCAGCAAAAGTCACTAGAATTTCCGACTTACGCATATGTTGTGTGCAAAAGCAAAACAAGGTACTTGCCTTGTGGAATATTCATAACGCCTATAGTCAAGCCACCACAAATATCCTTCAATAGATCCGACCGCCAATTATAGTGCAGTAGTGTATTAATACATGGTAGAATAGACATTAGACAGTACAATGAGTACGATTTGCACCGTTGTTTAGTACAACAAAATCGCGACTTTGAACAACTTCGACCATTCTTAATATTCGTGCTGTCATTCCTACACAGGAGAGAATCCCAATCTGCAATCGGTCGGTTGAATGTAATGCGTCCTAGGCGAATATTTGTAACAAATTTACTGTCAGATATATCCCGATCTTCATTAGACTTTGACAATGAATTAAACTTTGACCCGTAATTATGACCGGTTTCATCATCAACTATGAAATAATTTGACATTTTAATGATGTTTAGTCGTATTATCATTTTAAATCACGTTTTATATAATTTACGTGATGACAGCTGAACGGACAAAACCTAAGTTATGATTCGTAATTCACTAATAATCCAATCATAAACATTTTGTGTACACACACGAATATAGTTTCGCAATACATATAAATATATGAAATGAATACGAACCTGTCGAAATTCTAAGATTACACAATAATACATGTGCGTAAAAATTCAATAGGAAAAGCGCGAAACCCAAAGCACAAAATAACAAATTAGGCAAAATAGATTTTGGAAAAAAAAATGATACACAGGTAAAATTTGAAATTTACCAAAAATGGAGTCAATTTACATGGGTAAAGAAAGGTAATTTTCATTCTGTTTGTTTTTTCTCAAAATCGTCATCATCCTATATTCACAAGAACTGAGTTCATTTATCTGTTTATGCGTATATCAATGCAGAAATATTTAACCACTGAAATCACCGAACTAATACAACAAGGGTTGATAACAGTGGCCATAACATGTATGTAAATCGATAATAAAAGGTTGTGGAACATTTAGAGAAAATGTTTATAGCTACACTTTTAAAGCATCTGAGAGAAGGGAGCGAACATCTCGTTCACTAATACGATTAGAAGATACAGGATTGACATTGGATAAACTGATATCTGTGACAGTTGAATTCCAATTTCCAAGAACCTTGAAAACATTCTCATGTTCTATCATACCATCCAGACTGGAACATGATATTGAGCTAGTCGGCTTTGACTTTCTACCCCGGGAACCAACACGAGCATCGTCTTCACATACATCGGCTTGTTCTGTATTTTCAGATATGTAGCCCGTTACGTTTCGCTCCATTTGCAGTTTTTCAGTTGCTATACGCAGCATACCCTCCTCTACTGTACCTTCAGAAATTAGCCGTATAACATGAACAGGACTAAAAACAGAAACACAATCAAGCATCAGGGTACAGGTTAATCACAGTAAAGAAACTCAACACAATTTAAATAGGTTGGACTATTTTCTTAATTTATACATAAATTTCAAATAAACATTTACAACCAATGAATCGGTCCACAGTGCGTAAACTCTTCAAGGATACGCGAATTATGAATGCAAAATGCTTTCTTTGTACATTACCACCTGCGCCAGTAACAATAAACACTCATATGTTCTCTAAAGTTCGAAAATGCAAATAAGCTCGAAATGTGTGCACTTGCCTTCCTAAATAAATTTTGTACACTAAGTGAGAAAAAGTTACGAGTTTATGGTACAGCAAATAAGGTGATGCGCTTCTCTATGCTCCTGGCTATGAACCTCATAGCACAAGCAACCAACTTGAACCAGTGAACCACAAGTCCCATAATCACTTTTTATGCTGAGACTTGGTCCACTAGGTATCACTAGGCTTTTCAAAGCTTAGTGTGTGAGGGTACACTTGATTCTTGAAGTACACTACCATCAGTTTCAACTTAACCTCTAGAAAAAACTGCGTGGACACACCTTTAAAAGCACAAAATCTAAGTCAACAGATTCTAGTAATTAAGAAAGGTAAGTGATAGAAAACAAATATAAACATAGTGAAATAACTTACTTCTTCTGACCTAATCGATGACAGCGATCTTCGGCTTGTCTATCGTTGTATGGGTTGAAGTCAATATCATGTATAATTACGGTATCAGCACCAGTCAGATTTATACCTAACCCACCAGCTCGCGTAGACAAGAGAAAAACTTCGATCGATGAGCTGCAAAAGTTAATGAAATTAAATATCTAGAAGACTAAAAATACACTTTTTTTCTTTAGTGTCGCCACATATTAATTTTAATTTATCCCTTAACATGAGGTGCTGAATTTATTGCATTTGCATAATGTCACCAAGATGGAAGTTTGCTTTTTCTCACATAAGTTGTGATATATCGTAAAACGGAAGTACTGAATGACTCTTTTCTACCACTTTAATTTAGTTAATTTATTTGCTTACCAATGTTATTTGGTAGGAACTGATGATAACCGTTTTCGCAGTGGGAGTCAAAAAAGTAAATTCAATAGTAACAGGTGATATAGTATAATGTCCTGGACGACGTTTTGAACAGAATTTACTGCTCATATTCATATCATGTTACTTTGGTAAGAATATGAACAATAAATTCTGCTGAAAACGTCATCCAGTAAATCATATTGTATCACTGCGTGCTATCAATCAAATAAATAATCTACTACTGAATTATACTCTAATACAGAGTCCAAAGCTTTTACTTTTACAGTAACAGGTATTTCATAAAGTTATTATTACACATTGGGTTTTTATGTCTGTCGAGAAATTTGTAATCCAGAAAATCCAAAATACTAACATGTGTATAATATGGTCTGCGAACAAACCGAACTAACATAGTTGTTACAAACGATGTATTCGATTGGCAGATGATTGGTACAAAAAGGATTTGAACACACAAGATACGTCAACTATAACGATTACTCATCGGGCGGTAATCAACTTCATGTTGTCTTGTACTAGGTGCTGATCAAACTATATCCATTGTTTTGCAATGTGGCGACTCAACATCCCAAGGCACTTTGATAGATGTTAGTTGGAGACAATAGGCAGGAAGCCCTGGACCTAGGTTTAGTGCTTTTTGGCATTCGTCAACAAGGCGTATCCGCAACTTCTACGAAACCGATATCCCGCTTAAGTGGTAACGTCTGAATGAAACACTGCGTAGCACGGGTTCGAATCTCAGGTGGGACATCAGTTCCGTAGAGGTGGCAAAAACTCCTTGCTGACGAGTGCCAAACAGGTCCAGGGTTTTCTACCGATTGCTTCCATCCAACTATCTAATTAGAGCTGACTTTAGGAAGCCTAAAAAATCTGAAGTTTGTGTCACAATCAGTGATAGCATGAAGCATAGTTTCGACATAAGTAAAACTCTAAAATGCCTTGCGTTTTTGATAATGAAATGAATAAACAATGGACAACGGCAATCACAGTTGAGAAAATCAGGATGAATAAACAATAACATCTTACCTGTTAAAACGATCAATTAAAGTCTGCCTCTCAGAAACAGGGGTGGTCCCATCCAAACGTATATAACGCCTGTTAGTTATTCTCAAAAATTCTTCTAAGATATCCAACATAATAACAAATTGACTAAAAATTAAAATACGATGTCCTTCGGAGATTAATTTAGGTAGATTACTATTTAACCATTCAATCTTCCCAGATCCAGAAACGATTGATTCTGGAGGTAGAGTGTATGGTGATAGTACCTAGGAGCAAAAAACAATTTTAAAGTGTTAAAATGGCAGTCACAACAATAAACTTATAAATAGGAGCATTGATTGGCAGATGGAATTAAATAGATTTAGATTAAGATGAAAGAAGTGATACAGTTCAGTATCCTACTTAATTTTATTCAGTAGTAGCACAAAATCTAACAAGAAAGGATATTTAATAAATTATTATTTACCACCGTTGGATCCGCTGTTTATCGATATTATTTTTGAAAAAGTTCAGTAATTTTGAAAAGATCGAAAACAATGGGAGCAGGATAAAACGCATCCATTTAATTTCGGCGGTATCCTGTAAACTGCTGAGAACCTGGGGAATATTAAAATACATTGGTTTGATGAAAATCCAGCATACTTCAATTCGTCGAAAGAGAACAGAAGGTCGATCAGTGGTCAAAATGGACAGAAATAGTCATAGATTTAAAGGTCAAGCATAACGGCAAAGCAAGGGAGAGTTAATAAATGATGATTGTCACACAAACTCAAAGATCAACGGGCGAAAACTAACAGGTTGACAGAAGAGGCATGACAGCGATGACAGGACTTCAAGTGAACGTAGAGAAGACATAGGTGATGAAGATACCCAACCAACAACAGCATCAACAACAAGAGGCATCAATCACCATCAATGGGAGAAAGCTAAAGGAAGTAGTCTCTTTCACCTACCCACCTACCTAGGCAGGCAAGCAGGCAGCATCGTTTCAACTACTACAGGTGGCACAGGCATAGACGAGAATGTCAAAACCAGCCAGTATCGGAAAGACAGCAAGACAGGCTTTCATTAATCTGAAATCAGTGTGGAGATCTATTACACTGGACTGCACTCAGCATGTGGAACAAGATCCGGATTTTCAAAACTAATGTCAAGTAAGTTAGTGCTTCTATATGACTGAGAGACTTGCGGCGTCACGAAAAGCATTTCCAACAAACTACAGAAATTCATTAACAACTGCCGCCTACGCTCACTCGATACTGAAGATCAGATGGCCAGGAAGAATAGGCAATAAGGAACTCACTCTGGCAACGAACCAACCAAGAACCTATTGCCCAACAAATATGCAGAAGAAAGTGGAGATGAATTGCATTGGATTGGGCATATACTGAGAAAACCATTAGGAGACATCACACGCCAGGTCAGGCCGTTGAGTGAAACCCGCATGAGAAATGAGTTGGACGTCCGAGGTGACAGGGACATGGAGGAGATCGTATGAGAAGAAATGAAAGCTTCTGGGTAGTCGTGGAGCCAGGTCCAAAAGACTGCAGAGAACAGAGTGAAATGAAGACGTGCTACTGAAGCCCTATGTTCCACTAGAAATCCAAGGGACAAATAATAAAATAATAATAGAAGTCTCTCGAACAAAATAACGAGTAATAATTAAAATATTGTGAGTTAAGATCAGCTAGACATCACCAATACTTCATACTGAAGTTAGTGCTGATGTTTTCCAGAAAAACAATAAATGAAAGCTCTACGATTAAACCACCCAGCTCAAAGAACGCAACACAATTAGGACCATCCATTCTACACTATTACATAAAATTCATCAATAATGCCATAGTTTATCGGCGTACATAACAGATGACAACGGAACTTTGAATTTACCTCATAGAATTGGCATAGTTTATGAATTTGGTGATCACTCATTGCTAAAAGATCTTCGTATATAAGATTTGGATCAGCATTAGAATGACTCGGATCTACATGCAAGGAATCAGCAATTTCTCGTAGGTTCGACTCCGTATATGCCAAACCAGAAAATAACGTTTGATGGTTTGCTGCCTTGCGTAACGCTGTAATCATATTACAAGGTGATTGGAGAGATCCAGCAGCTGAAGGAACTGGAAATGACTTCGTGCCATTTACTAGACAAAAAGTGGCATGAATAAATTAATAGGAAATGAGAAGTCTGAAAATGGCATATAATCATTCTGAAAGTAAAATCTTTATATTTTTAAAAGCCAAAAATGAAATCTTAATTTGACAAAAAAATTAATAAGAAAAGAAATAGTCTCTAGCTATATTTATTCTGCACTTACAACTATGTTAATCAGATATAAAGGTTAAAAGTCGAGCTCTTTACGAAAGATTTGAGAATCTGACATTCATTTTTAAAAATTATGTTTTTGTCTTTACTGACTTTTATGCTCTCTTCACATATCCGTTTTCCTCTACTGTCTTAATTTGTATCTTTTTGTGGTGATACAATTTCTGGCAACTTGGATTATTTAACTTTTGTACTAGGTTCCGTTTTATTTGCCTGAAGGACGTTGTCACATGAACAATGGCATTATTACAAAGTTTAGTTGAAACCAAATTATCCGAAATGGTAAAGTCGTAGTCATTATTTAATATAGAATGATAAGATCACTTATCAAAAACCTGTTCAAACTATACCGTAAGTCTAGTATGTGTGAATACTCTTGGGGATTTAGGGAGTTGAAAATTATGAGAAACCCCCAAACTGTCAAATGTAGGGTTACATATAAGTCGTATAGTCTTCAAATCTACTTTTAGTACATCGGTTAATATAAGCTAAACTGAATGTCGATTCCCTACATATGTTCATAAGAAGCTACGTATACATACGTCAGCTATATACATAATACCCGAGTTGCCGCAGTAGACAACAGAACATTAAGGCAGAAAGAAAAACGGGGAAGATAAAGAGAGGGGAAAAATATTACTCAGAGCAGAAAGTTATAAAAATTATGAAGATTTATAATGCAATGAGGCTGAAGATAAGGTATGAATAAGTTTGTGCTGATGTGATGGGTTTCTCGTTATATCAAGGAGAATTTTTAACTATCGATTTCGGCTTTTTCTTGGACCACAACCAAGGAGTTTCCGTATTTGAAAGACCAAAAGTCTAAAAATTCAAACACCAACACCGTGGACGTCTTTCACCATTTTACAAACTAACAGTAACTCAACTAACAACGTGCGGAGATTATTATTATTTATTTATTTAAGACCCATATTTGATACAAAATGCATCATACAAAGCAGAGCAACATTAAGAAGTGTGTGTAGAAAGGAAACGAAAATAGAAACGGGTCATACAATAAGCAGTTTCAAGTATATATACTTTGGTTTTATTTTCCAACTATGGAAGAAACAAGAAAGCTACATTGTGATTGGAACGTTTTTCACTTAGTAGATCTACACTGCACCTAGGATGATTCGATAATGTCATCGGTGTCAAAATTAAAGACAAATGACAAAAAGGACAGCCCTGTCAAAACGCATGACGCAGTCAGCTCAGTTACTAAATGTTCACAATCCTATGAGCTGACTTACCTTTCTCATTTAGACTCTATAACCAACCTATAAGCCGCTCATGTATTGTTTCCACTACACACCAACAACGTTACGAAAGAAAAGGTAGAAAAAACACTTCTTGAACCCTTTGCCTTCAATTTTTGAAAGCATGGACTTCAAAGCACTCGACCGCGTAGTACGCTCGATCAATAGGCATTCACATGCAGCACCAGTGCGAGCTAGTTAACGACCGCAGAAACGTTTATATACAAGGTGGAATTTTGTCGGCAACCAACCCAACCCAAGGCAAACAATTCTTGTAGTATTTATTGTTTTCGAGGAAGAATATGACCCAAACATTTTCCGATTGGCACCCAACATGTTAAGATGGCTACATCGTATCAGTATCCTTACTTGATATCTGAGTGTGTATTCTCTAGGTCTGATGATAAGTCACCAGAACTCGCTTCTTTTAATTTCAGGTTGCTTTTCGGATAAAAGTTGGAAGATCGATGTTACCAGTAGATTATGCTGCGATTGGGTAGGCCACCAAAACCTTGACATAGGTCAAGCTGCTCACTCAAAGTAGTCTACTAATCGTTTCAACTGTTTTCTGAATGAATAAATGATGCGCTATTCTTGGTTAAAGTTTCATCAACCACCAACTTTTTACAACAATATACATAGAAATCCAAATAAATAAATACTGTAACCTATTGGTGTTTCTTCCCTCAGATTTTTAACCGTCACAGTTCATTACTGCTCAATGTGGATTCGTCAGTCTACATTTACACTGTTTTTGATCCTACGGGTGGCGAAATTTTGTGACGATAAATGTTTAGTACAAACACAAAATTAATTCAAGGATCGAGTAGTGCCGAATAAAATGATAGTTCCATGAGACACTCAAAAGCACAAACTAATTAAGCGAAGAAAATTTTTTTTTTGGGCGGATCATTTCTGCAACTGTACGGTCGCATCTATGATAATAAAAAACAAACAGATTAGTCTATTATTGGATAGGAAGGTCAACATTAAGTCATCAAAACGGAACCTTATTCATTCGCTCTGCACCAGAAACAGAAGAGTATGCATAAATGACACATTAAATGATGAGTTGGAATACCTTCGGAAAGTACTTCTATCACCAAGGGTTCATAGAAAAAAAAGACAAAACAACGACAAGAATAAGCTCTTATTGTTCATAAGAAGACCTCATTCACGAATATTGAAGTCACGGGGACAACACAGGAGAAATACCAAACCATTCAGAAAAAAATTCTATGCTGCCGAACTGCAAATTATCCCTCTCCAGCTAATAGTTAAGATAAACTGCTGCTTTGGACCACATCCACGTGTCTATCAGTGTACCTGCTCTTGTAGAGCTGGTTAGCCGCACGAAGTGGTCTTTCCAAACGCACTTCCGAGCACTATCCTGCATGGTTGTCCGGAGGAGAACGCAAGTCAAGCAACAGTCCCATCTTGGATTATTTGGTCAACTCTGGTCATGCTGCTTCCCCATAGCCTTCTTTCAAAATCCTCTACAAAATCAAGCCAAACAGCTCGAAAGGAGTACGGATTCGTTAGAGGCGTTGGCAATCCAACACATACAGAAGAGTTACGTTCATTTTCTTTTTTCGCTGTGGTCATAATGCCTTCTTTATTACTTCAATATTCATCTTACTCTTACCGAATGATTATCATTACTTTTTGTTTTTACTTTGTAGTTTACTTTCCCACATTTTAGCATGTTAGCTCCAATCTTCCATTAAAATTTTCACAATACTCAGATTTACTCAGATTATTGATCATAATTAGTACTATTTGAGCTGTTTGCTCTTTAACATATTAGTCATCACGTTAATCTATTGCATATTTTCCTTATATACACTTGATTACGCAATCCCTCTCTAACTTTAAAAATGCATGTTTTTAAATTTCAAGTGTCTAAATGATGATAACACACATTTGACCACATTTCACAACACATAGTAAAGGATGATTTTTGCTTCAATTTTGTTCGTAAGGTCAAAGGTGAAAAATGATCTTTTTGATATGTAAGATTCAAAAAGTGAGTGATTTATTCAACCTGTGAAAGCTTTCCATGCTTTAGGTACGCCGCGAGTCCTCACTATGTTTACCCTAGGTAAATAATTGAGCGAGATTGACATTAATATTTATCTGTAGTTGTAGTAATACTGACGTGGCTTAGGAATACCGCTCAGTAGCAAACAATATCAAAGACATCTTATGATTCTTATCGATTCCCTGCAAGGAACTAATAGTTCAGCAACTTGTGTTCATTATTACTCTGCAAAGAAAGTACTCCTACAAGTTTGTCAAACGTGAGTAATTTATGAATGTATTTCAATATATTCGATAAACCGATAAATTATGGGTTCAAACTATTTGAGATTATAGATCAAACATTTACGTTCGTTGGAAAAATCGAGAACCTGAAAATCATCTGAAACAAATCATGTATCGTGTAAAATACTGCATCACAGTATTATCATTATCAAAACAAACCTCGTACAACGTAAGTAACAAGAGATGTGCCGTAAAAAGTACCAACAGAATGTAGATGAAAACGTGACAGAGAAAGAGGGAGGAAGAACAAAAACAAAGACAGAAGCTGATTATTAAAGAAGCACTACCGAAGAAAAAACAAAAAACCTGTTATACAATAGCCGCTGATTTCGATTCTGAGCTATATTTGATATCATTTCAGAATGGATAAGTTGACCCAACCAGGAGGTCGTAAAACACCTACAGACACTTACTCAACAAAAACTATGGTTCATCCTGTGGCTCTGATTCACTATATGATAAATGTTGTAAGCTAAAGCTTCCTTGTGAAAGCGGCTTTAATGCTGAGTAGAGGCAGACTATTCATATCATGCAAAAATTCAATGCTAACTACTCTAAATACTTCATGACAGAGCTATAAAGTACTCTTCCCTACCTGCTGAGCAAAAAAAAATACTTACAATTCCTCGCTCACATACCATGATGGATCAAGTAAAACTCTCTTTGAGTGGCAATCTTTATCAAACTGTACATTTATGTAGTGGTAGTATTTCCTTTTTTATCGATGTATTGAAAAATATGATTAGCACTCACTTTTAAACTGCTTAAAAAGTTATATCTATAACCTTAACACATTCGATTCACTAGTCTTCTCAATAAGAACATTTCAGAGTACATCTGGATAAAAATTCTATCTTATCTGCTTAACAGTGCACAAAGAATTTTACGAAATAAATCAACCTTTCAATATGATAAAAAATATTTATAATTACTGAAATGATTAGGAAACCTTTCATTGATGGCCGTTGAGAGTGTACCCATAACTAAGAACGCTTACTCAGACAACAGTACACAGTTGACCAAATGTTTAAATGTATCTATCACTTAACTACTCACAAGTAGTTCGTTGAAGCTATAGATAACTCGAATTACTGAAATTTTTAGCCCATAATGATTAAACTATGAACTTATAATTACTTAATAGTGGTAGATAAAAGATTGAGGTTCACTTACAGAAACAAATAAATGAAACATAAATACTGGAACACCTTTGATAACATATAAAGCTTCACTATACGAAATTTAAGAAACTGTCTCCATGTGAACAGAAGAAATGAAAATAAAACAATGCAATAGTGATTAACTCAAAACGTTTAAAAAAATTTCTAATGAATCACCTGTGGTATGATTATCCAAACGAGTTTTTTTCTTCGGTGCACGTTGGCTTTTAGAATTACTACCATCTGGATCAGCATTTTCATCGCCGTGCTCACATTCACTATGTAAGAGAAGGGATGAGTCTTGACCATTGCTTGTATCCTTTGTACGTTGTGAACGTAAGCGCTTTGACAAGATCATAGTAATGAGTTGCCTGGGATTGTGTCATAGGTACTAAAACCACTTCATTGGTTTTCGGAGGGAGTTGAGCAAGAACCTAGGACAATGACGATGATAAACCAGTACGATATGAAAAGGGAAAAGTTGAGGACAATATAATGTAATAAATTTACATTTAAACATACATTTAAATGAAAATGAGTCCAACAAAACTGTAGCTGTTCTGAGTCTCAAGCAACTGAACCACATGTATTTAGTTAGTCGAATATAAATGAATAGCTGGAATTGATATACACACCTAGTTATTTTATATCAAGCGACTAGAGACAATAAATTCAAAGTTATTAAGAATATCAACGAAAAATCAATGATTATAAACACCTAAAAAAAAAAAATACAAACTAACCTGTGCTTTTAATCGCCGTAAACAGAATGGTTGAAGTAAGTTTTTCGCTTGAATAAGACGCTCCTGTTCGAAACTGCTTCTCACAGAAACACTATCGGTTTCCTGTTCATCACCACGAGAATTCATAGGTTTCTAAAATTGTAAATTGTAATGCGATGGTAACACACTGTTTCAGCTAAATACAAAGTTAAACCGAAATCCAACGAATGGTTTGTAGGGACTCGTTAGAGAAAGGGTTTCATAACGGATTAACATCAGATGCAGAACCATCGAAAACCTGGTAACAAGCTCGCTGAGAGACCCGGAGGTTTTGGGCTTGGTCCCTCGTGGGGTCGTAGGTGTGCACTGCTCAGAGCCTTCCAATGGTTTTCAAACTGATATCAATCTGCGATGAGAACTATTTTCAAATTCAACAAAAACATCTATATACATCAGGAGTTACCTATAAATGGAGAACATATGACGATTACTTTATCATGCTACAAATATCTAACTCCAAAATTTCCTAAATCAGTTCATTTAATAATTTTAAAAATTTTGCTTTGAAGTTTGGTTTGATTAAATTGTTGATTCACACTTATTTGCAACAATGAAAAAATATCAACTTTCATCACAATTCCAGGCAGCTTAAAGCAAAGAAAAAACAATGATTGGATTGAAGAGACTCACTCCAATCGTAAAGCATGTAATATGCACACTAATTTCTTATCCAAGGCCATATTGGTAAGGGAATTAAATAGCACAACAAAGATATATATATATATATATATATATATATGTGCAAGACTTACGGAATATATTTGGAAAATTCGTTTCAGCAAGTCTGTGCTCTTCAGAAACATTTCTGGCATAACAAATGATAACAAGGATACAAGTTCCAATAGATTGTTTTGAAGGGGTGTACCAGTTAAAAGTAAACGCCGTTGGACTTTGAAATTCATCAGATATCGATAACGCTGGGACGTCATGTTCTTCAGCATATGTGCCTCATCAAAGATCCATAATAAAAGTTAACGCGCTTCATTAAAGCTCTATCTTCGATAGCACTAGTCCCGACAGCATAGCTAAAAAGAAGCATTGAGATCTTTAGCGACCCTATAAAAATTAGTACATAATACAAACAATGATACTTAAAATATGTCTCAATGTTTACGTCACTTATTATTATGTCATAAAGAGACTTTTTTAACGAAGATGAGAGTAGTAAAGAATGCTCGGTAAATACAAAATCTATTGCTTTTAATTCAGTCTGTTTGATAAACATATCTTGTTGCACATGTATTTACAATCTTTCGCTTTTTCATTCATTAAGTAATCGAAACATTAAAATATTGGCTACACAATGTCCAAGTTTTTGAAATTTCGACAACAGAAGACATCTTATTGTACATCTAACTTCATCCCTTTCAGTTTCTGACAGAACCAGGATATTCAGTGTGTCAATAATATACCAAAGATATCAAATTCGAAAAACCATTTATCATGAAAAAGAAATGTTAAAAAAGTTTCTAAATGTTTACATCACCCCCAATATTATAGAACAGATAACGATCCGTACCATCAATGTTACACAATTGGCAAACAACACCGATTGAGAGTACAATTTTTTGACCAATGAGCTTCATCAACCTGAATTATATATATCTACCGGGAACAGGGAATTAAGTACTATGAAGTGTGTGAAAGTAATTCATCTACCACCGTGGTTGTTCGTATGAAATCTTATATTAGGAAGTGGACAGATGTAGATCACTTTTATTGGCCCAAAATCGTCTGTTCGCAAACTGCCACCAGGTTTTAAAGTCAACAGTTAGTCTCTGACCACAATCGGGGTAATGTAAGAGTAAAACTTGAGCACTGTGGTAGAATGTAATTCCATTTTAGTTGATTTGTTAGATGTATCACACTGTGGAACAGCATTATTTACTGAATTACTTTTCGGACACAATTTGGTGTTCATTTATTTCCCATCATCTTAATATGACTACGGACAATAAATTGTGTCCGAAACGTAATCCAGTAATACTGTCCCACTGTGTGAAACATATACTAAGTCAGCCAAAGTGGAATCACTACCGGACAAATTCAAAATTATACCATATCCCAGACAGGGAGTAGGAAGGAGGTAGTAGTGATAGTAGCAGCTACATAAATACTATTTTTAGTAAAAATAACACCATGTAGGACACGTAATTACAACATAATGATAGAACAGTAGATTTTAAAAGTTAGTACCAGATACTAGGTATCACCTGTGCATAACCTCCAGCACAGAAAAAGAAGTCACACGGATAGGTCTTAAGAAATTAAAAAGAAATGACAATGATCTAGAAATAGATTGAGATTTCAGATACTCACCTGGTTAATAACACATTGAAATCTGGTTGAGATTCAGATTCATACACTTTTAAACGAATAGCTTTTCGTTGTTCAGCAGATCCTTGGTAAACAAGCACTTTTAAGTGAGGACACCAGAGACTCAATTCGCGCTGCCAGTTATCTTGTGTGGAACTAGGACAAATAATGAGATGTGGACCACGATTTCCATTTTCCCAAAGGCTGGCTAGGAAAGCAATGGCTTGAACTGTTTTTCCTAAACCCATTTCATCTGCTAGTATTCCATTTACTTGTTCATGATGTAGCAGGCGAAGCCAATTTAGACCAACAAGTTGATATGGTTTCAATTCACGCCTAGAATGTGAAAAAAGAACTTATAGCATACTAAATTGGTGGGACAATATCTTATCAGTTTGACTATGAGATAGCAATGGTTTAACAGACTTGTATTGATGCTGGGTGATAATTGGAGGTGAAATAAAATTCGGAATAATATTTATCTACTTACGGTAACAAAAAATTATAAGAAAACCTTAGGTTATACTTACAAGGGGTTCAGTATAGCAGGCTGTTGAGTCAACAGTTGAATCGGACCACCGTTTGTTTTGTTTATTGCAAAATCATCACGTTCATGATCAATGCCATCAGCTTTATTTTGATCTGCGGTAATATTCTCAGGCAAACTGATCGTATTTTTAAGTAAACGTGCTGCATGACCAGCAACTTTTTCAGTTAAGCGTTCACATTTACTTAGCAAACGGACAACCGAAGAACGGATCTGTAAAATATTTTTACAGTACTCATATAAATTTGAAGAGAGATGGCGAACTCCTGAGAGTTGAGTAACCAATTCTGCTGTATTTTTAAACGGACGCATGTTGATAATCGCCTGTGCAGTTTTTCGAGAACATCCTGGCATTAGAGTAAGTTCCTCCATCACAGCATCGTTGAAAAAAGATAGAAGATGGTGACGTTCATCATTTGTAAGATCAAGACCCTAAGGAAGGAATAGGTAAGTGAGAAACAATAAGATATAAACAGTAGTTGGTAGTCATGACTTACGGACCAAATAACTGCAGTACGTAATTGTTATCACATTTCACGTTTACTTGTGACAATGAGACAAAAATTCGGAGTACTTTTGCTAGACTCACAATGAATTTCAGACTTTGCATTTCAGTTCATTTAAAATGTACTGTTGCATAACTAACTCCAGAATAGTTTGAAAACAAGTAACATACCAAAATTTACTGGTCGCCAAACCCTATAAAAACACGACTTTTCTGGATTAGTTTCTAGAATTTGTGTTTTGGAGGTATACCATTCACACTACACTAACTGCCTCAGTTAGGGTTTCACAACTATGTAGATTTCATGAACTAAAAAGTTGAATCTTATGAACAAAACAGATGATCATGACTAAATGTTTTTAATAAACTTAGGGAATTTGCATTATTCTTAGTAATATATTCACTGACAATCAAGTGAATAGCAATTCATCGGTCAAGACAGTATGCAGATGCGATGATGATCATATAAAAGCGCTACTATTGCACTATTATATCAAATATCAACTTTTTTAAGTTCTGGATTATAATTAAACATGCCGCTAATATCATGTGGATAACAAATTCACGTAGGTAAGAAGGAATTTAACTCACATCATCTTCTTGAATCTCATCAGAGAGTGCACTGTTTGTATCATTAGTATTCAGAACTTCCATGGACATTTTTTGATGAGCAGATTTTCCTCGACGTGAAAGACGCTTTCGGTTAACTGCAGCACAGGAAGAAACAAAAGAATGAGCTTTCTATTCGAATAAATTTAAAATGAAAGTACGCTAGTACTTCGAGAATTACTATATCCAACTAGGAGGTTTTCAATTACAAACTAGTCATCATAAATTAAAAAACGCGCTAACAATAATGGTTTGAGTATGTGGTATAAGTTCCCCTTTACCTTAACACGAAAAAAATCCCACTTACTATTTTCTACGATTAGTAGCTGGATGTTGCAATTTATTGGTTAACCAAACAATTATGTGTATAACTGAACAATATCACCTGTTTTCAGAACTTTAACACTGGTCAAATAATTCCAATCATGACTATTTTGGAACGGGTTCGAAGACAATCCTTATAAATATATGATAGAAGTCAGTGTGAATAAATTTTGGTACGAAAACGATCTTGAGTTTCCTGTTTTCGATGTAATTTAGGACAGAAGTGTTTCAAGGACTATGAATAATGGACTGTGGATAAACCCATTCATCTGGAGGGTTTCAGTAGCAATTTTGAGTGGCTTAGCGGTAGGTAACATGAAAAAATCCTCCCGATTATTGAAGAGCAAAAGAACGTCAATACTACTTTAAAGTTAAACCTACGATAAACGAAACTCTTAGGGAACAAATCTAAATATGAACGTCATACATACACCGACATTCGTACTACCTTTCTTCAAGAAGTAATCTCTAATTTCAGTTAAACGGTTCGGAATTGAAAACTGGTGACAATTTTTGAATTAATGAAATAAAACCGTAGGAATTCTTCAACCTTACACAAGGATCACTGATGAAGCAAAGGTATATTATTATTATTTATCCCTTGAGTTCCTGGTGGAACATGGAGATTCAGTAGCACATCGCCATTTCACTCTCTTCTCTGCAGTCTTTTGAACCTGGCTTCACGACTGCTCAGAAGCTCTCATTTCCTCCTCACACGATCTCCTCCATGTTACCCTCGGATGCCCAACTCGTCGTTTCCCCTTTGGGTTCCACTCCAGGGCCTAGGACGTGATGTCCCCAAACGGTAAAGGTATATAGCTAACAACAATCTCAAGATGGTGACATTAACATAAATGTATACTTCAATCCCCATGCCTAAGTTTAAGTGACAGATTTGCTTGAGCTAGCTGCAATTAAATTTTCAGCATGAATTTTTTGGCTTAACAGCACTTCCTCATTGTTAATTTTTCGGATTTATCCCTCAAAAACTATTTAGAGAACATAAACCACCCAAAATACCCCGAGAATTTTGTGATTTATTTGTGGTCAGAAAAATTACTCTTAGTTTTGGATAAAAACACCAATACTCCATGTAGAGGTTTGCCTTCAAAAGAGCATAATTTTATATCTCCCACACATACTCCCAGTAAAGTAAACCTGGTAACTGATTACGACATTATCAATGTTAGAATATCATGGATAGTGAACAGGGATATGTAAAAATTAGATTGACAGAAAGTCACTAGAATACAAACCTACCTGAATTACTTACAACACCAACTTTAGCTAGGTATTTAACAGCATCTCCTGACTTTCGACTGGAATCATCACTATCCATATCAGATTTGGCTGCTGAGGTTAAAGTGTTAGTTTGGCTAACGGGTGTAGAGGATGTGGCAGTTCGCATTTCTCTATTTATGTATCCACGTTTCTTTTTTGTGCCTCTCCAACATGGTCTGTACGAAAGAATTTATTGCCAGGTTGTTGAGGTGTCGTCTCTTCAGGATTTGGTGGTTCAACATTATCCTAATGAAAAATGCAGGTGGGTAGAAGCAATAGTGAGTTTTGTCGTCTCAAACGAACTGGATACTCACAAAAAGATGTCCAACGATGTGTGGAAAAATACAGACGAAACCAGAAAACAAGTTTCAGTAACCAGACATTTATTGGTTTGATGAGAATAAAAACGAACAGAACAGTGACAGTATTTCTTACCTGATCTTCAAGCCAGGAGCACCTCAACCAAATATGTGCTAGGGAGAACAAACAGAAACTAATCCGAAAAGTGGTACGCATGACGTTTTACAAATAGTTAATCTAGTTTCGAATCCTTATGTATGTGGAATTAAAGCAGAGTGTAAAGAGTATGCATTAGGTCAATTAGTACCAAATTGAAAAAAATGTTCGGAGTAACCGCTTAAAAATCCCTTGTATGTGTAATACAAAAATTGCCCTAAGAATAGTAAAAATGACAAAGATGTTAAAACTTGTCAAAGTACAAAACTGATACGTGATAATGATTCAAAATAAGTTCCAATGAAAACTAGATCTACATTAAAATTACAGAATGAGTAACGATAACACAAATACTCACTACTACTAATGGTAAGGAAGTGATACAAATGTACATTATGTAACCAAGCGGCCATGTTTAGGTCTGTTCATTGAGTAGAGAACCACACTCATTGTGTGAGGTTCTAATTATCCTGGTCTCAGTAAGTAGGTGGAGTGGGATTCGAACTTCTAACGTACGAACCGAAGGGTAGTCAACTGAATCAATAAGCCGTAGTATGATGAAGGCAAAAAAGGTACCATTAAGACAAATGTTATGGAAGCCATACAGTAAGGAATAGTAGAACTTAAACGTCAAGCAAGCTTAACGACTGTCTGACTTTGTTAAAATAAAATCTATGGTTCCCCACATTTCAATAACATACTCTTATGGGTAATTTACCCTCTCCTCGAACAAATTTCGAAACTTTTACCTTTGAATGAGTTTAATTATTGAAATCATTAACAATTTAACCCCATACATCTCTATTTGTACGGTTCATCTTTTTGCGCTTTATCCTTTATTTTTTTCGCTGTTAAAGAAGTCTCGAAATTTTAATCCATGTATCTCATACATTGGTTCTACACCCCACTAAGCAGTTCAATAAACTCCAACAATCGAATGTCGTACATAATATTTAGGTTTCCGTTTTGAATATGAAACAGAATTCACAGGCGGAACTTTCTCAAGTGAACAACACTTAGCAGTCAAACTAAACAAAGAGTAAACATTCAATGTTTGACATAATCATTTTGTCGAGAATTCGTATGCACGAATCTTAGTCACATACACGTTTACAGTGCGCAATATATGTGAAAAGCAAAATAGTTAGGTAGACGGCAACCTACTACTAGCTAACTGGCCGTCATTTAAAATATGCTATTCAAAAAATCAGAAATGCAGTTTATCATGAATCCATGTATTTTTAAGCTGACAAATAACTCCGTATTATTTCTCAGATAGCAAAATGAACTGCAAAATAAATAAGTGCATATATGCCTGAGTGTTGGAGTTCGAATGCTCCAAAAATTTCAGAAATATTAGATAGACTGAAAACATTTATATCTTATTCATTATTCTACTATGTTCACCATAGTACCTTGAAATAAATCTTCAATAGGGTCTTCAGAATGCACAATAAGTGATTATGCTAGATTTGGTTGTTTTACTATCTTCGTGGTGTAAGATACAATTCAGAAATTAATTTCTATCTGCTTCACGTAATACTATAGTAATGAAAAACCGAGTGGAATATTACCATGTTTAGCTACAAATATTTCATAGATAAGATGAGTACAGATAAATTAAATGATTTCAATGAAACAAAAAAGATCAAAATACAGCATTACCGATGTTAGTGCCTGTTCTTCTGAGGAACTCGGTGGGAACCGCTTGAACTGAGCAAGTTGATGAATAGGAGGTAACACCGTTGACAAAGGCGATAATTTCAGCTGGAAACAACAACACATTCTCTCAAGAAAATTCTCAGTGTTTAAAAGCTTGAAACAGAAAATAACACCTAAATTACTAGATAGATGATAAGTCATCTGAATTAACCTGTTAAATACAATGGAAACAGTCACTGCGCAGCGTTGAAAATTCGTTTTCAATCAGACAACATAAATATGAGACCTAGCAGTATCAAGTGAGAGTATGGAGTTGCCAAACCTCATTCAGAAAATTCAGCGACAATCCAACAAGATGAAAGATACAGAAATAAGGAAGAAATTAGGCAAAAGAGGTAGAGGAAATTAACAAAATACTCCACTCAGCATAACAATTAAGATGAAAATAATGTCTGGATGCATCTACACCACTGACATCGATTCTCAGTCATCTCACCTAGTCGCCAACCACTGATTTCTATTGTCACACAAAACCCGAACAGAAAGTCTACACTCCTCTATACAGCTCAGTCCAACAGTCAACCATTTCATGCACTAATGGCATATCTCAGTATGGTCGTTCTCTAACCTTTTCTCAGACTATACCTACTTCGGTAGACTTTGTGCAACGAGGCGGGCGGTGACTAGGCATACATAACACATCCCAGCAACCTCAGTCGATGAAGGTTCACAAACTCACCAACTGACTTCTCTCCCATCACTAAAACTCCACAACCTGTTCATAGTTCATATCTTGTATGAGGGCTGGGATACTGTCAAGGCGCAAAAACCGAAACAGGTAGGGTAGTTGTCTTCCCGGCACCACTCATCGAGCCTTTCACTTAGAGTCTAATCCACAATGCAGTGCAGCAACATCACAAGCTGTATTCCCACGGTTGCCACTGGCCAAGATACGTTCTACAACCTGACTCCCACATCACTGACATGGTGGCACCACGACACATGCCACACCTATACTACAAAGCCAACCTCATTTCCTAAAACTTGAATGACCATGTTCCACAGCCACAAAGTAAAACACAGTGAGCTGCAGCACAGTCCACTCAACCTTGAATAGGTAGTCAGATATCACAGCGGTGACACAAATGTAGTCAGCTGGCCAACGTTAACCCAACTTCTTGTATCCGAGCAGAGATCTCGTCAGTTACGAATCCGTCAGGGCCCATCCCACTTCCCACGCAGGTGAAGTGGTCAGCGTGTTCAGCCAAATCACTCCTCATCGTTAAACAAGGTACCACTAAAGATCAGTCCTGGAGCAGTAATTAAAATCTGGGTGGTGAGAAACACGGCGAAACATTGCCACTCTAAGTGTCCAGTGGACTACGTATTATGTCAACGTCTTCATTGGGCAAGAATACGCCACCTGCATCCACGAATTCCAGTCGTTATCAAGAGCTGCGTGTAAGTTAGATGGAAGTGTAAGTGAATTTAAGAGCAGGCTGAAAATGTACCAGCTCAGCTAATTTACTGCTATCAGTGAAATATTTTGTGGGGTAGGTGGTAGGTCGACGAGAAATTTTAAAAGTGCCTTGAAGGCTGGCTGGAACCGCTTTACGAGCAGTTTAGCTGGTTTACTACTACTCTAGGGATGTTGATACCTCGGCACATTGTCCTACATTTTCAACCCATTGACGAGGCGAAGATCTAGCAGGAACTCAAAGTACTAGGCACCTAGTTCAGACAATTTACTACTGTTCTCTTTTAAGGTCGAAAGGAAGACCGTAATCAGGGGGGTGATCAGATCATTTGAGGTATAGCAGGCTGAGAACTTTCTCTTAGTTGAGAATAGGGCCATGATTGTGTCTACCTTAAAATAGAGCTTGTAAATTGTAGATGGAAAGCGCCCAGCTATCAGTCTGTTCCCAAGAGATAAAAATTTGGTTGCTACCAGTCTTCAGAGTCGTGAGGAACACAAGATTTTGTTTACTTTATAGATGCATTGAAGTATAAGATCTCGATTAAATGTTTGGATATCATCGTACGTATTTCGCATAAAGGATCATATCTGGTGATTTAGAAGTTGTCTTCAACTAACTGAAAAACTCTGCGCCCTAGAATAATTTATCTAGGAGTTTGACTGATAATTAGTGCATCAGAAACAATCTTATAGACTTACCCCAGAGAACAATGATGGTCTAGGCCGAGGTGGTTCACAGTGTAGAGATGGTGATTCTAGTACAGAACTTGATAAACCTGTGGAGTTTAGAAATTTCTGTTCATGTTCATCGGCAGATTCAACAGTGCCTTCAGGTGTGACAATAACTCGACGATAAAGTGAGTTAGCGACATGAGGGGGACAACGGCCCAAAGGTAACCCCATACATAAGAAAGCTTGTGACTGCAGAGGTAATTCAGGACGCGTAGGAGTCTTTGAGTCTGTTGCTGAAAAGCGGAAAATAGCGCGTGAATAAACGACAAAATATAAAACCAGCAAGGAGCACGTGTAGGCGATTTCAGAAATATATCACATTTGGAATGGTGCAAAAAAAGGCAGTACATTTACAGTCTGTATGCTGTTAAATGTAAAATAATAAAATATTCTGAACTGTAAAGCACATTCACTGCCCCCTTTTTGTCATTAATACCCTACAATATCATCGATAGCAATTACATACAAAAATGACTAGGTTGAATAATATTTCCTAACTTTACTGCATGTTTCCAACAGTATGTTTCCTTGCAAAGAATTTTCGAAATATAATACAGTAATTGTCAAAATTCATCAAAGATTATGCAATAGAGGGTAATTAATCAACAGAAACAGTGCTTACATCGTTTTGATTCAGCCTTTGGGCTTGAACAAGTCGAACTTTTGAGCATCTTTCACGCTCCCGATCATCTTCCTCTTTCAGTTGCTCGTAGCTCTTTTCATAACTAAGCATATTACGCGTGAAAACTCGATTAATGTACGCCCTCTTAAAGCGAGGAAATAGTTTTAACAATTTTGCCAACTCTTGCACACAGTCTTTGCCCTCATATGTGCGTATCTTCTTTTCCATGCTGCAAGAACAACAAAAACATTTGTAGGAAGATGCAGAGGGGTGAAACAAGAACCTAATTCCTGTATTAACACACGGTTAGCTCAGCCATTACTTGTTTCCAAACAACGGCACATAAGGTGACAAACAACTAACCCAACACAAAAAAAACTACTTTGATAACAGCACATAAACTATTCTGTTAACTCTCTCTTCCAACAAACCCAAGCAACAAAAATAAAACAACGAAGACACTAAGCTTTCCTTTTATAATCCCATCCCCAGCTACATAAGTCTTCAAATAGGTTCAAGAAACAAGTGAGATCACTTAAAGATAATAAGAAAAGAATTTTCTTAATTCCTGCTGTGTTCCGCTTACAGTTCCTGATGGCCCACATTTCAATTACAGTTATTAAGGATAACAGCAAGAAGAAAACGATACCGAATGGAACCTTCACCGAAGAGAATGCCTAGCAGATAACTTCACAGAACAAAAGACCAAAATAGTTTGACCAGTATTATGTCCAAGACCCCAAGATCCATAGTTATCCCACGCCTAACTGGAGCTCAAGAAAACCAGGCAAGTTTCAAACCTGGACGAGCGTGCATCGACCACATTTATACCCTCTGACACGTTTGGAACACAGGCATACCTACCGGTCAACGACCGACACTTGCCATATTTCTCGACCCGAAGGCGACGTCTGACTCAGTCGATCGTGGGGTGTTGTGGCAGTGTCTGAGTGTGAAGAAAGTACCGAACAAGCATATAACGCTTATCATAGCTCTCTACTTAAACTCACGCAGCTACATCAAGGATTGTGACAGTTGTCACCAGAAATGACAACAGCTAGTGGTGTCCGCCGGAGATGCCTATTGTCACCGTTCCTATTTAACTTCATCACAGACGTACTAATGGACAACCTTCAAACGGATTGACCTACTCTCTGGAGGTTATCTGGTTGACTTGGAGTATGTAGACGATATTGTCCTGCTGCATGAAGTCGCCGACGCAATGCAGGGTCTTGTGAACGCGTTGAGCAAAAATCTGAGTATGTTTGGCATGCGTCTCACTGGTACCTGTCAATGAAAGGTGATGCTCCAGGACTGGTCTGCTCCAAGTACTCCCAGTTGAATGACAGGGAATGAAGTGGTGGAATGCGTCGACCACTTCACTTACTTGGGGAGTTTCATCAGTGCAAACCGGTTGGTGGTTGAGGACTGTCGGTGGCGGCTGAAAATCGGTTACAATGATGCAATGTATTTACTCTTTGACATCTCCTAAAGCTTGACTATTCGCACTAACCTCCATCTTCAAATTACTTGTTCTCTCACACAACTGTCTACTTTGATATCATTCTTTTTCTATCCACTTGTTATCTGTGTACTACTGTGAAGTGTGGCAAATTGAACTGATGCATCTGTGTACGAGGTTATACGTTGATTTCGTCCTGTCCATTTAAAATCTTTAAAAACGATGCTGATGCTTTATGGAGGCTGATTGTGTGAAGTAATGTTGTTAGCTGAAGTTTAACTTGAAATTTCGCAGTCTCACTAGTCTAAATATGTGATATCGACTACCACAATTGTCGGATGAGTTTACTCCATAACTATAGTGCGAAAATTGATCGGTCAAAAACCCTAGATTATACTGGAAATGTGGTTTTAAAAGATTAAGTATGCCAGTTAATAGGTTAGGATAGGTGAGAAAACTACAAAAGCATTAGATTCGACGGCGGCAAGTCGAGACACTCAATCAGTAAGTAAACAAAATTTTCCCAGCTACCAGTATGTGACTAACAGCCTAAGACATCTGAGTTAGTTGTGACATGTGGTAGGTATACCTAGACATCCCCTAGACTAGCGTGATGTGTTTGCCAAAGTTCGACAATGTTTTGAGGAAGCGAAAGGTGGTTAAACCCAAACATAAAATTACCTCAAGAAGTCACCGACTGTCAGTTTTCTCTATAATCTACCTGGCTAGAAAACGAAACGCATTCAGCCACTTTGTGCACATTTGTGCAGTAAGCAATGCGCCACACCCATTGTGAGGTCTACTGATACTACCGGCTGCCTAAAATTCGGTAAGTGGACCTGAGCTCGAGCCCATGACCCAATGACTGATAGTCTTCTCCATAAACCACTGAGCCACAGCTCGTCTCCAAAACGTTATGAAGCAGTGAGCTTACGATCTACAGTGACGGCGCAAAATCGAAAACTTTGTTAACCTTCCTTTTTGCTCCGGCAACTCTCACACAGTCCTTGTTTTTTATAATACTAATGTTTTCTGTGGTGCCGTGAAGTGAAGTAGTTTGCAATAATGCACTTCAGTGCTGTTTCTTTGACCAACCCAGATATAGATAGAAATGCTGCTATCAAAACCTCAAGCAACAACTTTGACAATATGAACTAAAATGTTAGCAGCATTGTCTTTCAATCAATGTCACTAAAATTACATGGTATAAGTACTTACACATCATCCAATGGAACAGAAGAAAATCGCCCGCGACCACGTGCTTTGGAACGCATAGCGGGCATAAAGAACTGGTGAGATCTTCCTGTGGAATTAATCCCACACATCATAGCAACATTGTTATCCACATTAATAGACGAGTTCATATCGGGAGTTTGCAGGGCAGCAGAAGATTCACTCACACCAGGAACAGAAGTGTGGATAGGCAACGTATTCAGAGCATCTAAATCAGTACTGGTGTTATACACTAGTGAAGTGATCTCATTTAGGTGTGAACACTTACTATTCAGATTGACAATGTAATGCGGCACATTGGGTTCTTCTGAAAAAAGTAAAAGAATACAAGGACTAATCAATATAAACCGAGACAAACAGGGTGTCATATGTGCTTACGAAAATAATATTGTAATAAATGTGATGCATCAAATGTGTTGATACGTGTTTTACCAGGGCAAAATAGGGTATCCACGGGTTTCAGGACTACATAACTTACTTTGGACTGGGTAACTTTCTGTACCTGAGATATGGCCCACAGTCAATATCTGAATCGCTTCATTTGTTTCTCATTTTCATGCAGACTTTCTCTGCTACTACCTACAGCTGAACATGAAACTTAGAGAAACTGTGTGCTAACAAACATCATAACAACTTATTACTCACCCATATCATGCATAACTTGGCTCAAAGACCTACGCACTCGAAGGCTTACCAACTGAAGCAAACTTAATGAACCTCATTAGCTCAGGTTGCTAAAATTAGGAGCCATTCTGAAACCAATAGGCAAACGTCTACGTGGTTCGTTACTTAACCACAAACCTTGTATGTGTATGTTCTTAAAATGATGCCATCTTTAAGGTGCTCTCCTTACTTTTTCCCACTACTTAAAGTGAGCTAATAGCGTGAAAATTAGAGATAATTGTAGTAGACAGGCTGATCAAGTCTTTATTAGGAAAAATGTGCGAATATAATCTTTTAGTTCAAATATTTACGAACAGATCAGTGAAATGAAGACAATATGGTGGAAAACTTCATGGAGTTAAGAGTTGGACCAACCATAAAGCCTAACCTTAACCTACGCTAGGTGGTATGAATACGTACAATAAATTGTGTCCGAAAAGTTATCCAGTAAATGATACTGTTCCACTGTGTGACATTTCTGATAAACAGACTAAAATGGAATTACAATCAATCACAGTGCCCAAGTTTTACTCGTAAGAAATGTATGAAGAACAAGATATTCCCTAGAGACCTCCAGCCTTTGAACTGAAGTTGAATCCTGAAGGTAGTGGAGAAGAGTTGAATGTTGCATTTATGTGGTTGAAGGTTATAAAAGTAGGCTTTGTACGCCATGCATTCCATTCGGATTCTAGAGCCTATGTGCACTATTGGGCTACAATCAGGTTTTTACAACTCCATTAGGTGAACCCTCCATATCCACGAATTCAATTGTATCACGAACTCATTTTCACTTTTGTTAAAACACTGCCGCAACGAAAAGGCAGTGAAAAGTTTTTTGCCACACGCTATGAACACAGCTGTGCGAGGATTCCTAGAGTACGTGTGAGTATCCATATAAACCACCATATCAAGATATTTAGACTTCAAAAGCAGTTTACCTCTAAACGGTAAGTGCTAAAAATAGGCTACAGAAATGTGGTCTGTATATATCTCCTGATGTATCTAGATTTAACATAGCAATATAGCAACATTCGATACGCACAGACAGATACACAAAAGTGCTTTGCTTCAACCTGCAAGCCACTGTCCAAAGACAAATATACACAGAGAAATATTAAAGAGAAAGGACGAGTGAACATACAATAAACGATAAACAATGACTGACTGACAAAATCAACGTATAACCTCGTACACAGATGCATCAGTTCAATTTGCCACACTTCACAGTAGTACACAGATAACAAGTGGATAGAAAAAGAATGATATCAAAGTAGACAGTTGTGTGAGAGAACAAGTAATTTGAAGATGGAGGTTAGTGCGAATAGTCAAGCTTTAGGAGATGTCAAAGAGTAAATACATTGCATCATTGTAACCGATTTTCAGCCGCCACCGACAGTCCTCAACCACCAACCGGTTTGCACTGATGAAACTCCCCAAGTAAGTGAAGTGGTCGACGCATTCCACCACTTCATTCCCTGTCATTCAACTGGGAGTACTTGGAGCAGACCAGTCCTGGAGCATCACCTTTCATTTGACAGGTACCAGTGAGACGCATGCCAAACATACTCAGATTTTTGCTCAACGCGTTCACAAGACCCTGCATTGCGTCGGCGACTTCATGCAGCAGGACAATATCGTCTACATACTCCAAGTCAACCAGATAACCTCCAGAGAGTAGGTCAATCCGTTTGAAGGTTGTCCATTAGTACGTCTGTGATGAAGTTAAATAGGAACGGTGACAATAGGCATCTCCGGCGGACACCACTAGCTGTTGTCATTTCTGGTGACAACTGTCACAATCCTTGATGTAGCTGCGTGAGTTTAAGTAGAGAGCTATGATAAGCGTTATATGCTTGTTCGGTACTTTCTTCACACTCAGACACTGCCACAACACCCCACGATCGACTGAGTCAGACGTCGCCTTCGGGTCGAGAAATATGGCAAGTGTCGGTCGTTGACCGGTAGGTATGCCTGTGTTCCAAAACGTGTCAGAGGGTATAAATGTGGTCGATGCACGCTCGTCCAGGTTTGAAACTTGCCTGGTTTTCTTGAGCTCCAGTTAGGCGTGGGATAACTATGGATCTTGGGGTCTTGGACATAATATTGGTCAAACTAATTCCCCTATGGCTGTCACATAAAGACTTCTCTCCCTCCTTATAAACTGGGGTGATTAGCAATCAGATAGGCGCTATAGAGGAGAAATGCATCTGGGTTACAGAAGTCGACTTCCAGCAGTTTTCTATATATATATATATATCTATGCAAACGTCATCTTCATAACTTCGAGATAATTTACCGTCAGACCGTAGCCTTAATACCAAAAACGATGAGTTTCTTTACCTGCTTTATTAACTCTACATGTTGGTGTTTCGAACTCAGACAATCAAAACCCGCCACACCCTATCCAATAGCGCAATACCAATTTTGACAAGACGACTTCTCCTTTTTATGTAGAATCAATTAATATCGGCCTTAAACACAAACTTAGTACAGAGTGATCACTAAGAAACGCACCAAATTCGAGCGACAAAGCACACTAAAAGACCTTCATTTGAGTGACAGATATCGCCGAGGTTATTTTTTAAGTTCACCCTTTGAAATTCATTTTAGCGTACATTTCTTCCAAATTTAATTGCAGATCAGAGTTGGGGCTCCCGAAAGTAAAATAGTTTAATGGCGGTAATGTTACTTCCACAAGAAACCAGCATCTATAGTAGTGCACGCTCTTACTAAGGCGATAAAAGCGAGAGGATTGATCGCAAAATGTTCTTCCAGTGCTCCATAGAGATTCTATGCCGGTAGCATGGTATTTTAAGTAAGAAATCGAAACTCAACACTTTCAAAAGCTTGTGACCGAATTAAAACACGTGTCTTAGGGATTTTGTAACTAGAGATTGAAAGGCTTAGTATCCGATTGTAGCAACAGTAGATTATTTTCTAAAACAAACTTGGTACATGGCCACCAAGAGATAGACCTTACAAAGTAATAACATGAAGACACGGAAAACGGATTGTAGATAAAAATAGAAATGGGTTATTAAAGAAATAGTCTGAAAGACACATCCCAAGAAGCGCTTGTCAAGCCCGTTTTACTTTTTGGTAATATGAGAAAAAAACAGGAAAGCAGTAGCATGATCGTCACTGGTTTCAATTTTGACTTATGTCTGTCGTCACAGGTCACTAAACAGTATGATCTATCGGACCCTATCCAAGGAGTCGTGAAGCACCTAAGCACCTAACATAACTAACATTTATTACACAGCCGCCTCTGCGTTTTTTCTAGACAGTCCCAGGAAAAGCTAAAAGAGAGCAGTATGAGAGCCGCTGGGACAAAATATGAAACATATCACAGCCATTGTAGTCGGTGAATCAGTGACCACACTCACTGGGTGATGATCTTCATCATGCTCAAGCACGCTACTGCACATCAGAATTATATGGTTAGTGTTCCCATCAGATGCAAGCAAGCCTGTGGAGTCAACAGTGATAGTAAAGGCAGTCGTTGGACATCCTTAGCTCGGAGGCAAGGTTTCACAGTCGCAGAGCATAAACGCTTGCGCCGATGCATTGTATACCCAACCTTTAACAGCAACGTAAACGCTTCAACTGCCCCAAAGGTGATCCAGACTGGTGTATTTCAGTTTGACTTTTGCTGTACGGTTGTAAGTGTCATCAGTCACCCACCCACCAGCATTCATGCAACTACTCAAGTACACAAACTTTTTGACAAATCCCAGTGACTTATCATCAAGGAGTGCAGGTTCTGGATGTTGCTAATCTTGTAGAAGTCTTTTGCACTTCGTTGGTGTGAAGCGCCTACTATACTTACGGACACTGACTGGTTAAATGAGAATTGATAAACCTGCATGTTGTCGCAAAGCAAGACAATCTCGTCCTCATACTCAAAGTCGGTAAGTGTCTCACCTGGCAATGGATCTACAACATCACCACCACTCCCTCCAATACCGACTCAAGAATGTGACCGATGGCAAAGTCAAAGAGGAATGACAGAATCACGCAACCCTGTTAAACCCCAGTGATGATTAGGAACAACGAAAATCAGTGACTGCATGCCTTCACTCTAAAGGTCTTCACGATATCAAAAAAACTCCCAGGTACACTTCCATCTACAACGATTCTAGATTACAGCTGTCCAAAGAATCGAAGGGAGCTCTAATGCGGAGTAATACAACGATTTTTGGCGTGCGGTGTGCGGACATCTGATGGAGGATGAACACGTGATGAATACATCCACGACCTGAACGAAGCCCAGTCCGCTCCTCCCGAATTAGTTCCTCACGCGGTTTGCGCAGCCTGCTAAGTATGGTAACAGCCGGTACTCCAGATGCTATCGGTAGCAGACTGATGCCCCGATGATCAGCAGACCTTTATTAAAGAGGAGCAGCCTTATTTTGCAAAACGTTTTCCTGATCCTTTTGTTCCGACAACCATGGATGAAATCGTTCCACATCTTGATAAAACTGTGCTAAACTAGATGGTGGCAAGTATTTCTTATTTCGTTAATAATAAAGCACTGCTAGACGCTCATATACAACAACCAACATAGTAGTATCGAGGTGTAATCTCGAGGAAGGTAAACCGTTTGCGAAATTAAGGGTTTGTAATCATTGAATTAGAGTTAGTTAATACTGACATGGGAATGGGCACTACCGCCGAAAAGTTCGGGTTGCTCCTCACAGCACATCAAGATACAAGGTAGCAAGTGAGGTTGGATGTGTAAAACACCTACTGCAACAACCAATGCCAGCTGTAATAAGAGTACCGTACAAAAGGTCGAGGGGCTACATACGGAATACCAAAGGACAAAGTAGTTAGCCTATCTACTTGGGAAGTTTGAAGGTGCAAACTCTGCTCACGTAGACGAGATGGTATCAACGAGTGATTGGAGGTCTAAATTTTGAAACATTTACATGGTCCATGGCTCCACATAGCTTCCACAACCCCAGTATACCACAGTTCTAACCTATGATCCACTAGTCAAAACGAGTGTTTAAAACCGGTGAACTATATCTCTGTCATGAGTGATACTAAGCCATGTAGTGCAGATATCCTTATTACCCTTTCATCAGGATCGCGAACACGTTTTCCAGCTGACTGTTCCCCCTTTATTTATGCTATCTTGGTTCTCTGAGAAAGTAGTAACTGTGACCGATAAACAAACGCATAAGGCTCAACTCTGTTGTCCAGTAACAACTAACAAACTAGTAACACTTGAGGATTCTGAAAACAGTTTCAAACAGTTTAACCCGTAAACAAACCGGGATAGGGAACAATAATCAGGATGATATTCACTATTGTTCTGTGGACGATGGTTCCATTTTGTATTCACACAGAAAGCTCAATAATTTGGCAGCATTCTGGAGATTAAACGAGCAAGTTAAAACGTGGTAGGTTCCTATTTGATGTAATGAATCGTGTAAACGCCAACGGCAGGAACCTGTGATCGCCGAAGAAATACACATACCCAATATAGTGGGATCTTTCTTCTAATATAATCCGTGATTGTTTCTTGACGATATTTGATCCTCCAACAAACCTCTCTTGAAGTGTATATATAGATACCTGACATGATTTAGGCACAAAACAGACAACTTAAAATCTCAAACAAAACTGCATTGATGCAAGCTATCAGAATCCACATAATCATAGCATGAACATGAACGAGGCATAAGTGAAGAGGAGGCAAATTAATGTACATTAGTAAACTGCCTAAAATGTTGAAAGAAACTGAGTAATTCCGCTTCTACATGTATAGTCGGGTCGGCCTACGTCCATAATTCCATTTAAAAACCACCACCTTACACATCACATCAAACGATGACTATACTTTACTGTCGCATTGGATAGTGGCTATCAGTAGTTTTCTCTGACATAACCAAAAATAGAATATAAATCTCAAATGCTTCGGAAAATTTCTGTACAACTAGGCGGTATATAGGATGGAAGTAGACTGGGCAAACAGATACGGAGCTTATACCAACATGTATCAACCTACAAACAGTAGAATCTGACATTAGATTTCGATGGCATAAGTATTAGTCTAGTATTTCAACAGCTCGAAGCGATACAGAAACCACTGACACACATGGACCCGGCTTCCATGGTATTCGCACGAGAACAATATACCTACTGTTTTAACTGAAATAACCTTCTTCCGAAGGTTGTTTGTTCTTCGAGTGAAACTGCGGGTGTACACAGGGCTTCACAAGGATACAAGACGAACAGCCACCTGAACTACTTAGTTTCCCCTTAAAAAGTTATGAGCAAACATGTTAAGTATAAAATTGTGAATTTCTGAGTGAACAATACAGAAAGGAAAGCTAACTGCGGCATAAGTTAAAAAAGCTCGACGAAAATCCATAAATTTGATACAGGGAAATTTATACTACTCATATCATTATAGTAGGGTAACGAGTGTGAACAAAAAATCATACTCCAAGGTTAGACAATTAAATCTATTATTACGTTTTCAGACTCTAAAAATTACTGATTCATTGCCTGTGTCAATATTAAAGTCTCCTAGGTACTCTGGAGCTTCAATACCAGGCGCTACAGCACTTGCGTTCACTTCATTGTCATTCTTGGGATCACTTTCATCACCACCTTTTACAATTCGACTTCCTGAACTTACTAGAAGGGGAAAATCATAGAACACACAAAACAAATTTCTTACCAAGGACAGAATAATCATCCGTCATCAGGATGCAACAAAAGCAATATGTCCGCGCCAGACTTCTTTTAGATAGTTTAAACAAAACAAAACAACAGTGGATGTGCAAACCTTAAATTCCACTCAAAATAAGGAAAGAGAGCAGATCCACTTGATATATTTCGTCCACTGAATGTCTAAATGCTTCTTAATCATAAAAGTTACTGAACTTCAATTGTGGTCATGGAGTCATAAAGTGGTAATTTCAGACTCATTCACTGCTGAATTCAGCGGTGAAAATCCTTTAGTATCTATTTACGGGCGGGATGAAAGGGGTTTCATGAATCCACATTACCAGATTTCTCTAAATAGTTTACCTTGATGAAGACGAACTAGTTCTGCGCAAACCGCAGGCAATAGATATGAATAGAGTTTTGCGAGTGTCCAGAAGAGTACTATAGACAAAAGCTACTTGCTGTTTGTGTTTGGCCGTCAGTTCGTCACCCCTGACAAGGCTTTTCAGGGTTCCACGCTGGGTTCTATTTTATATGCCACTTTTGTTCTTGACTTTGTAAGTTTTTCTGTATCACCTGTCTTACTGTGCTGGTTTTAAAACTCCGTAAGAGGCCAAAAGATCCCGTTATGGAGGGTCTAAGTAAAACAAATGAAAGTACTGCCGTAAATTCACTGTTAACTGATGTGAACTACATCATATTAGCCCTAGGGTTGGTGATATCGGAAATAAACTTTACTCTATGAAAGAAAATATACCGATTCCTACTCTGGACCTAACTGTTGATGCTTTAGCTACTGCTGACCACCTGAAAATAAGCCTTATGATATCTCCGTCTTGCAGTCCACGGGTTCCAGAATCATCGAAACTAGATCTAGTTAGAACCGATTCAATCTGTGAAATACATACACATTAGGGGTACTATGACTATGACGTGACATGTTTCCCACAAACCATGCGTTTAAACCTCAAAGAGGCAGGGAAGAAGAGTGGATACTCATTGAAATCACTGCTATTTCTCAGAAGCTTGTTAGTAAACTTCGGAATTCTTTCCGCTAGTTTGGATCAACAGCTTCAGCCTAACATACGCTGAAGCTCAGGCTGCAATTCTTATTTTACACCACTTTGGAAAGCGCAACGTAATTTTTGGGTATGTTACAAATCGTTAGTCCTCCGCAAATGCCAGTTAAGAAGATAAACCTTTGCTAATGCAGAAAATGTAACTGCACGACCACATGGAATTAAAAAGGTAAATTGTGTTGTTCATTTGACAGGATAAGGCTAGCAAACCGATGTTTACCCAAGTCGACGGATATTTCCTTTAATATTTTCTTGAACACTTAAGTGGGGGCCTAAAGTAATATTTCCATTCTCTATTCCTTGTCTTCCCTACCTCCGCTTTTAATTTCCTTAATCAACAAACTTGACTGTGTTACCAAACTCCAGAGAAACTTCACTGATTTAGCCGTCAGACGGCCGTAATCTATAATCACTTTGTAGATGCTTGAAGAGGGAACAAATTGCAACAAAGCAGGCAGTTAACTAAGCAAAAACAGCCCAAGTTACTTGCAGTTATGAAAATGCGAATCTTTCAATTGAAATATTGGAGATCGTCAAGCCACAGGAATCACCTCACTTCCCATGTAGCTGACTGAACAGTACCGCAGTATATGGCCCTGCCTCGTTGTTTCACAAGATTCTCTTTGCATAACAGTCGGCAAACATACCAGAACCTAAAAACAGATAGTAAATCAACCACGGAACTTCCTGTTGTAGCCGAAACAATAGAAGTGTTTTTGAAAATTGCGCATTGAGTCACCTGGCAGTGAGTTCCAGCTGAGTTCTGAGCTTAGTATTATTACGTATTTGACCATATCCCTAAGCAGCAATAGGCCTTTCGAGATGGTTCGTTGCTTCGAGACTTCTTTGGCTAGGGCCAAAGAAAGGAATACTACTTAGACATTTAGATTCACAATGTACTGCCTGGTTGAACATGTGCTTACATAAAGTTATATGCAGGACAAATGACCTCTGAAATGCTGCCGATGGTAAGCTACCATAGTGCTACAACATCCTTCGCGTTTCGCATATTTTAGAAGTGAGTGAACCTGGAAACCTTAGTTCACCAAGATGCAAGCAATTCAAATAGGCGGGTTTATATGCCGTGTTATCAGGTAGGGCGGGGGGGGGGGCACGAAATACCTGTAAAGTAAGATGGAATCGAGGACTACTATTGTAAACGTTAGTTGAATTGAAGGATCGCTTGGCACACTCCCAATGTTAAGGTGTGTCATAGACTTCGGTCAGTGAAACTCCCATAGCATACGCCTCCCAGAATACATACCCACAACAATGTCTACGTTTCTCAGACCGGTAAGCTTCTAATCCCGAAAATTCCGCAGTAGTGACCAGAGTTATCCTTCGTAAAAATCCTGTGCAACTCCTACTTGAATACTGCTTTTTTCGCCTTTAGCGGTAAAAGAGTCACGGATAAAACGAAAGTCAGAGGAGTGCAGCAACATCTTACCGTGAAAATACTTAGCACGAATGCCGGTGTTAAGTATGCCACCAGGCGCGCCACTGCAAAAAAGAAGACTGAGGCTTAGCCTACTACTGTTTCACAGGCTAGTTGGCAGACCGGCTCACACTGTGTGCAGACACCCGACTAATATACGAAACCGCTGAGATTTAAGACGTGACAGCAATAATGACAGTGGCAGTTGATCGTTTACAGCACCTGCTAGGCAAAACGTCTTCCTGATTAGGTGTGCCCACAGGAACATGCTAGGTAAACACTGTTTGAGTTTGCGAGATGACTCGACCACACACTAATCGATTTTACTAGAGGAAACACCACCAGTTCTGCTCATAGAAATAATGCCTAATCTTCTCTGGTGGTGCATGTGTGAACTATCAGAGAGATAACTAGGATGAAGAATAAGTCTCTTGACCCTGCCTCCACGGTTTTTCCGTGAACACGCGCTACGAGAAATGCAGTGAATCCTTTCACCCATTCAATATGTCTGGCCTCTGTTCGGGTAGTCCCATCAAAACTTAAACGTAGACTTCAACTTCCAACAAGTTCATTGGGGTTCAGTTTTCCGTTACTTCCTACAATAATGAACATGCCTCCAGCACTTCAATTTTCTAGTCCTTTTCGGTATACGCTCTTGCATGAAGCGTTTTTTACCAGCGTCACTCAGTTTTGTGTCACGTGTCAAGATTCCTTAGCCTTGCCAGTACTGATTTCATCCCTGAACAGGCACAATGGTCGTATCCTCTCTTCTTATTTGCAGCTTCTCGGCGCCAAAATAATGTCATACCTAGAACAAATAACAGCTAAACAATCTTAAACGACATCTATGAGTGACTTAGTTCTGTAATTTTGTTGTGGCGGATGGGCGTCCGCGCGGTGATACTCGCCATCCTGTCGCCCTCTGTGTTCTGGTTGGGAGCAACCATCTTGGAGTCCAGAGCTTAGCCATTAATGGACAATTAAGTTAACGTTCTTCCATTAACATAACTTATTTACCTCTGACTGATGAATAAACTATTTTCCAGTTCGTCCTTTTTTATCATCACTTACACGTACATGAGGTAATGACTGGTTGGGCGCTGGAGCGCAATAATTTATGTAGGGCTGATGGGATATGGTGTACAGTGTGATAAGTGCGATAATCAGTTCAAAGAAAACAAGCGCCAGACTACCAACATGTGAATAAACTTAGATCAGCAAATTAACATCTGTCCAAAAGATTTGTTTTTCGCCTGGGTTTAATGTCATTGAAGATGTCATGAGATTGCTAGCCATAGCTTCAAGACTCACGTATGACTTTTGCACAAAGGTCATCAGTGATTGTTTTGGACAAGACCAGGAAGGTGTATCCACCGTCAGCGGAAAAGCAGCTGTACCGTCTCTGAAGAAGTTGGGTTTGATTGTGAGCTGAGTGGTACATATTCTCCATTGTGCTGATGAGGTTTTAATTGCATCAGTAAAAAACTGACTGTCAGACGAAACAAACCCCTATTGGCACCCCCAAGTGGGGGGTACACTAGAGAGGGAAGCCTGAAGGAGAGGCAAGATCTTGCTTATGCCTTGGAGTTGCCTGAGAAACACCACGTTCAAGAAAAGGAGCCCGAAACACGCTTGACGAAACTGGTAAGCTCTTTTAGACCTCTAGTGAACGTTTATATGCCGAAAAACAGCGCGAATCTGTTTCCGGAAAGCATAACGACTGCGGTTTCTGAGTGACAACAACAACTGGACCATCTATTTTTGGGGCGTATCCGGTCGCTGGTGCTGGTCCAACAGTGATTCCTGGCTGGCTAAGAAGGGATAGAAATGAAAAGAGGTGAGAGTTAGCGGAACAAAGAAACCGTGCATTCGTCTGACGAAGTAAACCTTGGGTTAGGAGATTCTGTTTGGTCAGGTCTTGGAATACGGTGTTCGAACAGTGAGCGTTCTCCATCAGTCCTGCACTACATAACAGCAGAACTTGTGAGGTCTTCAGCTTCAAAGTGGTGATTGTGCCATTACTAGGGTCTGTTGAAAGAGATAAACAGTTCTTGTCGCGCAATACATCAAACTGACGTCTTCATAACAAAAGCGCCAGCGACTAGATGAGAAACAGCCACGCTTTCACGAAGTGTAGACTAGGTTGAAATGTCCTTGATTTGGCCAGTTAGTTCACTCGACAGGGGACTACTCCTGCCTGCCATGGAACATACTGTGGTGCAAAGTCCCTGCAGTAGTAGCCTGCGGAACTGGGTGGGTAGTAGGCGAATTTGCTACGAGTTGGTGCCTTGAAGGAGAAACTGGCCCGAGAAATTAAAAATGACTGGTGCTTGAGTTTCTGTGAGTGTGTGATACGTTGAAGTGAGAAGCAAGGGGTCGGCACGATAGTTATATGACGTAGAATATCACTTATTTTGTTGTGGCATACGTACATTCTACGCCTGATAGAAACGTCGCGCAAACTAATGAGGTAGCTAGCAGGCGTTACTAACAGCACCCTGCCCAAACTTAATGTGCATTG